CAGTGAGTTCAAAACTAGCACATCAAGATCTTGTCTCCCAATGCCCCCAAAAAACCCTACATGTAGTGCTATAAAAAGATCTTAATAGTGGGTCAGGGAGATAGCTCAGTGGAATAAGCACTTCCCTGGCAAGCGCAAGGGCCTGAGCTCAATCCCCAGTTCCACTAAAAAATAAATATAAATAAAAATTAAAAAGATCTTAATAAAACTACATATGAGACAATACCTACAGGATGATTTTACTTGCTCTGTACCAGCAAAGGGAGACAGGCAGAAAGGGAAAGAGTATGTTTTTCCTACATGTGTTTCTGGGCCACTGGGGAGTTTTTCCAGAACAAACACATGACTGTAGGTGATCCTGCTGGCCACATGTGCAAACATCGTATTGTCTTCCTTGCATAAGAATCTGAAAGAGTAAATAAATCTAAAAGGTCTGATAGATATTGTGAAAGAAAAAGACCCTGTTCAAAGGGAAAGAACAACTGGGAAGAGGGAAAGGAGGACACAAAGAAAGAAGGAAAAAAGAAATATGCATGTATGTACACAGGATAGTTTGGATAATTGTACTGCTAATTTCTGCTGGTCTATTAAAAGCAGCATTTAATGCTTAAATTTTTTTCTCTTTTTAATTTTTTTTGACCGATTTTGCATGCTTATGTTTGGTAATCTGAACAACTAATCTGAAGACAACAATAGGCAATATAACAACCATTGTTGAATTCCTTTTTTTTCAAATGTATTTGGTTGTTACAGGGTCTCACTACACAGCTTGGACTCATGCTGATCCTCCTGTTTTTAGCCTCCCCAGTGCTGGGATTACAGGCATACACACTAAGCCTAGACTCTATGGCCTGCTCAGCGCGCTCGGGGGCAGGGCTGGCACGGCATGTGGTGCCAGGGATTCAACTGCAGTCCGTGCACTTGCCTAAGCTTGCCTACGCAGGCGCTTTAGTCCACTGAGCTATCTCGCCACACTCAGAATTCCTATCATTTTGTTTAGTGAAATTTTATATCATTTCTAATGTTTTGGTTTTTTAACCATTATTAAAATCTTTTATTTATTTGTCACAGGGTCTCATTACACAGCTCGGACTTGAAGTGGCCAAGTGTGTGGCTTCAAGACCAAACGGTGCACCCTGGGCTCAGCATGCAGTACCTGGGGAGACAGTTCAGCGGTCTAAGCGCCTGCATGGCAAGCACAGGGACCCAGATTTGATCCCCAGTACCGCATGCTGGGCTGGCCCTGGAACCCTGGGCACACCGTGCTAGCCCACAAACAGGGTGTGGTGGTACATGCCTGTAATCCCAGCACTGGGGAGGCTGAGACAGGAGGATCCTACAAGTTGGAGCTGCATAATAAGACCCTGTACCAAATAAATAAAAGATTTAAAAAAGAAGAGGCCCATCCCTGCAACACCATCACAGACCCTAGCTTTGGCCCAAATCTTTCCCAGGCTCCTCGGACTCAGCAATGGGGCCCTCTGGAGCATCTGCTCCCAGCTAGGCACGGTCACTCATTTATTACAGGGAGGCCATCCCGGAGCCCTCACCCTCACCCCCTGGGCCAGAGCCACTGAGAAGCCAGGTTACAAAAGCCACAGGATGATAGGGCAGAGGTGATCTGCCGCCCTTCTCTACAGCCACTGTTGCTGGCTCCTGGGCCCAAGGCTCCTCAGTCCCCTATTAAAGTCTGCTTCTCAGCCGCCGCCTGCAGTGTGATCGACTCTGCAATGCAGGAGAGGGGAAGTGCAGTCTGTCCAGTCCCCAGGCCAGTACCTTTGGCTGCCTGCTGCTGCTCCAGGATCTTGCGGGTCCGGGGGGTGGTGCCCTTGGGCATATTAATGATGTATTTCCCTTCCATCTCGGCAGTGACCCGGCGCCGCTTAGCAGGAACCTCCAGGCTCTCCTCCTCCCCGCGCGCCAGGGCAGCTGCTGAGAAGGAAGACACGGGGTCAGCGCCCTCAAGGATGGAGGGCTCTCCAGGGTGTGGCTGGACACCAGGTGAAAGGCACACAGAGCCCTTGAGCTCCGCGTTCCCTGACCTGCCCAACTGCCTCTTTCACTGCCATCACTGACAATGGGCCATCGAGGCACGCAGGGGGCTGGCTACGACAGGGCCAGAGAGGGCCAGAATCCCCAGGCTTTGTGGCCCAACCCAAAGCAGCCCAAAGCTGGCCAGACCCGGAAGCTGCAGGGTGGGGAAGGAGCTCCAGACCGCCATGCAGGCGCTGCTTTCACACCCGCATTCACTGGCGGTGCTTGTTTCCGTATTGCATTCACTTTTTTTTTTTTTCCGGAACTGGGGATTGAACTCAGGTCCTTGCACTTGCCAGGGAAGCGCTTATTCTACTGAGCCGTCTCCCTGGCTGCATTCACTTCTTAAGAATGAATCACACTGTATACAGCACTTCCTGCTTTGGCATTGTGCATAAATCGACTTTGATTTATAAAATTGGAATCCTTTCAAATGTGGCAAAGGGTGAAAGCTGTCTGGCTGCTGAGGAGGCATCAGGCAGTGCTGAGCACCAGCTCGGGCACAGTGTCCATCTGCTACAGAAGAAGCCTGAGCCGCTGAGTGAGGGGCGTGGTGCACATGTGCCTCGGCCCCCCAGCCCCGCTGCGCTGCCGTCCTGGGCAGTGAGGGCATCACTGTCCCACTCGAGATGCATGTGTGAGGCCCACAGAGGTGACGGGTCCAAATACTTGTGTGCCTCGTGAGGACATGGCAGCATGACCCCTCGATGCCTTGGGCCAACCCGCCAGTGCCTCCCACCCACCACCTGCTGGGGCCTCTCACCGGAGGCCTTGGCACTCTTTGCTGCCATCTTGTTGGACACAGTGACTGAGATCTTAGAAGTACTGGTGTCCGGCCGCCTTGGGGGAGTGCTGGGCGGGGAGTCGCGGTTCAGACTGTTGGTGATCATTCGAGAGGCAGCTGCAGAAAGCAAGGGGGAGAGGCCAGTCAGGCAGGCTCCAGGCACAGTTCCAGGCCAGGGTGGAGAAGAAAAGCACTGGACCCAAGTTAGCAAGTAGCGGCTACTGCCACCTTGTGGCTGTGCTGTTGTCACGCAGCAGGGACTCTGGAGTGGGCTTCCTCATCCAGGAACCAACCCATCACCTCCGTCAGACTGAACCCCACTGTGCTTTCTTTCTCTATACAGCCCATAGCACTGCTTGACAGTAAACTGTATTTATCTGCTTACTGGCAGACTCCCCCACAGGAATGCAAGCTCCATGGGTAAGCAGGGTCTGCTTACTGCTGTGTCCTTGGTGCCTAAAATCATGATTGCCCCTCTGTAAGCCCCCATGTCTACTGAAGCGAGGGACACTATCACTGAAGCCAACAACATTCTGACAGGGTCCACTGCAAACCAATCCTACACAAGAGGGAACCAGGCTCAGGAAGGGAAGCCCCTCAGCCAGGCCCCTGAGTAGGGCAGGTCCAACTCTGGTTGGACTGGCACAGGACGGAGGGGCCTCCACCTGGAGATGGACAGGCATCTCTGGCAGTCAGGCTCCTGCAGACAGGAGATGGCCTGGTGCGCAGGTGGGAGCTGTTAGCACACCGACTGTGGCCCGGCCTAGAGTGAAGGAGACCAGGTCTCATCTCACGCTACAGTTGCTGCTAACAGCAGTGTGTAGGCTTTCGAGGACTCTTGGGGAAGTAATAATCTTCATGCCACCACTGCTGTCTGCATTTGGATCTGGGCTGGTCCAAGTGTCCGTCTGCAAAAGCCATTGGGCTACACCGCTGTGACCAACCACTGTCTGTATAACTGCTGTGGGACTACTGCAGAAATGAGCCTGGGCTGGGGATGTAGCTCAGCAGCACAGCGCAGGCCTCGCAAGCACAAGGTCTTAAGTTTGATCCCCAGTACAGTACCAAAAACAAAACAAACAAACAAAAAAAACCTGATTTGTTCAGCTTTCCTGCATCCGCGTCTTTGGCTCAACCCTGCCCACGCACACTCAGCCGAGCCACAAACTTCCTTTGGTCAATTAAGTAAGAGCACGTATTTCCGGTTATGGTGGCACACGCCTGCTGTCCCAGTACTCTGGGGCGCTACAGCAGCAGTTGGGAGGTAGCATGGTATTTCTTTTGGGGGGGGAGGCGTTGTTCATTTTTTTTGGTACGGGGAACAAACTCAGGACCTTATACTTACCAGGCAGGTGCTGTGCCACTGAGCTATCTCCCCAGCTGGAGGCACACGTTAAGAAGCCAAGGCTAACATACATACGTTAAATTTTTGAATTTCATTTTAAAAATATTACAAATCAGGGTCAGCCAGATAGCTCAGTGAATTAAAGTGCCTGCTTAGGCAGACACGGGGAGTCAGGGGTTCAATCCCTGGACTGCTATGCTGGCCCCACCCCCGGGGTGTGCTGAGACAGCATTGAGACTGGGCGTGGTGGTATGCGCCTATAATCCCAGAGCTTGGGAGGCTGAAAAACAGGAAGGATCACTACAAGTCCAATCTGTGTAGTAAGACCCTGTAGACCCTGTACTAAATAAATAAAAATATTAAAAATTTTGCGAATTTACCTATTCATCAAAATTCATTTGAGGAGCTGGGGAGATAGTTTGGCGGTATAAGAGCCTGCCTGGCAAGCACAAGGTCCCGAGTTTGATCCCCAGTACTACATGCTGTGCCAGCCCCAGAACCATAGGCACACTGTGCTGGCCCTGAAACAGGGCATGGTGGTATACTACTGTAGTCTCAGCATTAGAGAGGCTGAGACAGGAGGATCACTGTGAGTTCAAGACCAGTCTGGGGGCTACAAAAGTGAGCACAGGGCCACCCTGAACTGCGTAGTAAGACCTTATATCAAAAAAATTTTTAAAAAAGAAGAATCATATGAGAAAGCCAGGTGTGGTGGTACATGCCTATAATCCCAGCACTCAGGAGGCTGAAACAGGAGGATTGCTGCAAATTTAAGACCAGCTTGGGCTGCAAAGTGACCTCAAGGCCAGACTGAACTCTACAGTGAGACTCTGTCTCAAAAAGATAAAAAATAAAAAATTCATTATAGGACATATTTCAATGCAAAGGCTCTAGGTTTAACCTCCAGTAGCACAAGAAGGAAGCAAGGAAGGAAGGAAGGAAGGAAGGAAGGGAGGGAGGGAGGGAGGGAGGGAGGGAGGAGGGAAAAGAGGGAGGGAGGGAGGAAGAGAAGAAGGGAGGAGGGAGGGAGGAAGAGAAGAAGGGAGGAGGGAGGGAGGAAGGGAGGGAGGGAGGGAGGGGCAGCAAGATTATACGGCTGACAGCGCAGCTCAGCGCAGAACACGTGCTTAGCATACAGGAGGCCCTGGGTTCAATCTTGAGCACCACCAAAAATAAATACATAAACAAAATAAACTTTAGTTCTACACTGATCAGCTAATGAAAGTGCTCTGACTGGAGGCCTGCAGGAACTGAACTCTTTACTTCCCCTAGGCCACTGGCAGTGACCCTATGGCACACATGTTGTTTGTGACAGAAGCTGTTAATGTATGAGTTGTTTTTTTCTAAACTAAAACCTCCACATTCAAGTTGAATTGCGGTGCTGGCACTTCACAATGAATGAGTGGGTCTGGGCTTGCAGCCTGGGCCCTCACCTCCGAAGGTTCGCAGCACCGCCCTAGGAGCAGGGCTCTGTACTCACTGGTTCAGCAAACGAAGTGTCCAGATAACCATGAACTAGTGGTCTGAAAGAGGAGCCCTGACTACCCAGTATGCTTTTCTCCCTTGGAGAACAGGGCCTCAGAGGGCTTTGTTTCTATCTCTGCAAATGACAGGAGGGAAGGAAAGACCAGGCTTGTCCCCTTTAGTGACAGTATAGCCCTAAAGAGATGCAACTCACCGCTAGAGGTGCCACGGCGTAGCTCAGCCGGGAGGGCCCCAGGGCTGCAAGGGACCGACTCAGTGGCAGCTTTGCACATATCCTGTAAAAATAGGCACCGCAAAGGGTTAGCACTGTAGAGCCAGCGACTGGAGATCTGAGGCCACTCCCTAAGGACCAGAGCACGCCTGCTAGAGGAAAGGTGTGACAACATTTCACACCTGACTGGGAGAAAGTGTCACACACACCCACACAGGGAGCCACGGTGCAAACTATCCCACCAGTGAGTGTTCTTTAGAACTGTCAACAGTGGGCTGGGGGGGCTCAGTGGGAAAGCATTAGCCTCCCATGGCCCTAGCTCCTGGGGCAGAGAGGGTCCTAGAGAGAGATGACAACTATAACGAGGAAGATGAGAGCTCATGACAACCTACGTCAGGAAGTGTACACTTTGCTAGCTTAATATTCACACCTATCCTTCAAAATGGTTGCCACCTGCTTTTCCCAGGCAGAGAACTAAGGCTCAGAGAAGTTAGATACTGGGCCCTTGTTACACAGCGAAGGGCTGAACGAGCCTCAGAAATGGCTCTAGAACCGCCCACCCCCTATTGAACTAGGGACACAGCGTGGGCAGAGCACCCACCTGGCGGTGCACCACCTTGGCATGCTTGAGGATGGCGATGATGTCACCCACCACGGTCACGCCCAGCTCGTTCATGATTTCCTTGTTGAGATCCAGCAGCATGCTCTTCTGGATCCTTCAGGGGATAGGGAGCAGTGAGGCCCCGAGGGGGTCCTGGCAGGCGGGGCAGCCAGCTCCCCACCTCCCACCCAAGTCCAGCCGGGCACTGTGGCCACCTCACCTATTATCCACAAACATCACAGCGTAATTCACAGCAGGTCCAGGGGGGATGCCAGCTTCCTTAAAGAACTGGATCCACTCGGAAGTGGCTGGGGGTTAGAAAGGGTGCATCACTCACACGAATGTCCTTAGAGACCAAGAGAGCAGCAAAACCGCAACAGCAGTGGCCCCATGAATTAAATGCCCATCACCCGCCGGGCCCTATGCTCGGGGCTACGCACAGGAGATAAAATGAAGCCCTCCACACCTCCCCAAGATTCTCTGATCTGCCAATGAGGAAACTGAGGCAGGGAGGGTTAGTTGCACAGTGCTAAGGAGGGGCATGGCCCCCCAACCCTGAACCGCCTTAACCTGCTGCCCACCTCCACACATCTCTGGCCTGGCCTGGCGCTCGGATGTTGCTCCACGCACCTGGCCAATGGCAGATGTGAGGAAACTGAGACGCTGGGTTCTCTTTCCTGATCCCCACCAGGGAGCCAAGGCCTGGAGGAAGGATCGAAGAGAGGACAAGAGGTGCCAGGCCAGGCTCTGGGACTTGGGGTCAAATCCCAGCTCTGCCATTTCCTGGCTCAGGGGCTGTGGCCACGTTAAGGCGCAGTGTTCTGGTTTTGGTTTCCTCATTTGTAAATGTGGGATCACACTGTACACCTGACATTCAGCCCCAGTCACGTCCGTACCAGACACACAAGAGGAAGCCCCTGCTCTCACAGAGGTATGCAGACTCAGTGAGAAAACCCAGAGAAAGGGCTTTGAGTGGGGCCTGGCCAAGAGGACGTCCTCCACTCCTGTCAGCTATTACGTTATTACTATGCTGCCACTCAGCACAGCTGGACAGGAGCGCAGCGCACACTCAGCACGCTGGAGGCCCTGGGTGGGGTGGGACCCTCAATACCACACCCCAAAGGTGCAGAGCCACAGCAGACCTACCGTCAGGCTTTCTCCCTGGTCCTTTGGCTACCACCCTCAAACTGCCCAAGCTTTATTGCACAGGAGCTATGACTCCAAATAGAGCATTTTCTTTTTCACATTTTAACATCCACGAGTACCAGAGTTTAAATGGCAACGTCTTTTACCCTGTTCATGCTACGGTACTAGTACACCTAAGAATCTGCGCCATTTTAAAGAAGAAGAAATTTGGCGTTACTTTGCTAATTTTCCTTTTAAGATAACTAATGCTCCAAGTTGAGAAACAGATACACTTGGGATCTGCTGTTTTACGGGAGGCACACAGGCTCAGGCACAGGCCCACAGGCCACGTCTCTCCCACAAAGGCCCTGCCCAGCCAGCAGTCTGAACCCAGGGACTGGAGCAGGTGAGGAGCTCGTGCCCTCAGGACCTCCTCATCCCACCCCAGGGCAAGGGGCCCACTCCCCGGATTACCCAGGTATTGCCCACCTGCCCAGCCACAGAGCCCAGTGTTCCATTAGCCAAGAGCAAGCACCTCTGTCTAAGTTCCAGACCCTCAAGGGTCTGGCAGTACCAAGGAGTACCACTGAGCGATTCCATTTCTAAGGAATCCCCAGAACATGCAAATCTAGAGGGCAGAAAGTTGCCAGGGGTCAGGAGGAAAGAGGGAGGAACTTCAATGGGGTGGGAGCTCTTCGCGGAGTGATAATGTTCCAAAATTGATTGTGGTGATGGTTGGACAACTCTGTAAATAGAGAATGTAACAGAATTGTGCCACACCATGGAATTGTACATTTGAAAATGGTAAAACACACATCTATGCACTGTATCTCTAATAGGCGGTGATTAAGCAGAGAAAAGGCACTACGTCGATTCCCTTTTTTTTAATCTTTTTTTTTTTTGGCAGAACTGGGGATTGAACTTGCTAGGGAAGTGCTTATCCTACTGAGCCATCTCCCCGGCCCCTATGTCAGCTCTCAAGACTGCAGAAATCCCTTCGGCCAAGGACCTTGGACAGGCGCACACTCATCATTCAGGTGTTACTCCAAAGGAAAATGCCTGGCCAATTAAGCGGCTAAGAGACAGCCCCCCTCAGAAATGCCACACCATACAGCAAGGACTCTTGGAATCAGCTAGATGGGGGTTGTGACACACACTAGGAGACACACACACAAGTCTTCGCTGATAACACCAGCACTTTGGGAGGCTGAAGCAGGAGGACTACTAGTCTGAATCCAGCCTGGGCAATTTAGTTACTTATCAGGATCGGGCTAGGGAGATAGCTCAGCAGCAGAAGCACCTGCCTGGCAAGTGCAAGGCCCTGAGTTTGATCCTCAATGCCAATAAAAAAAAAAAAAGAAAGAAAGAAAAGGCTGAGATGTAGCTTAGTGTGAAAATCCTCAGTTCAATCCTTAGTCCAGAAAAATTTAAAGTGTTCACAGCAGGGTGTCTGTGAGACCCTCAGAACAATGCAATGTCCCCAACAAGGGCACTCATAAACAGTGTCACTCACAGGATGAAGTACTATGTGGCAGTCAAAAGGACAGGAGCTATTGGGCCACAGAGATGACCCTCAAGTATCTAGCTACACAGAAGAAGTCAGCCATGGAAAGACACACAGCAAGATTTTGTTTACGTAAATTCAAAACCCAAGTCTACAGCATACGAATGTGCCCACTGACAGAACTACGAGGAGAGGTAAAGAAAGAGGTTTGTGAGGACGAGTAGGGGTGGTGACAGGTAGGACCCTCAAGGGTCTGGCAGTACTGCATTCTGTGCCCTGTATGGCTAGAAGGACTTTGGTTTTTCAATCCCTTCGTTGAACTATATATACAAAAAAGTGCACAAGTCAATAGATATTCCTTCCTCTCCCCCGGTGGTGCCAGCGATACACCCAGGGCCTCAAACATGCTAGGCAAGCACGCTACCCCTGGGCTACACCCCAGTCCTCAGTGGATATTCCTAAAGCAAACACACTCTGGGTAGTCAGGAAATAAAGCATTTCTGCCAGGCATGATGGCGTAGGCCTGTGATCCCAGCACTCAGGAGGCTGAGGTGGAAGGACTGTCTTGAGTTCAAGGCCAGCCTTAGCTACACAGTGAGTTACTGTTTCAAAAAAAAAAAAAAAACAAAACAAACAAAAAACCCCCTCAACATTTAGCATTTGCTGATCTGACATGCAGTAGACCCCTCAACCCTGGAAACAGTTTCACCGGTGGGTAAACCAGGGCTCCAAAAGGCCAGGCGGGAGATCTGCCAGACTTCGCGGCCCAAGTTCTTCAGGGCTAACCTTCAATGTCAGGAGGCCCAAAGCGGAAGAAGGGTCAGGTGGCTGGAGCAGGCCCCAGCCCACCCCCAGCTCCTCAGCACAGCTGCTCCAGCCGGCGCGCCTCTTCCCCTCCCCCCTTCCCCCTCCTAGGCTGGGTGTCAAAGGACACCAGAAAGAAGGGACCATTCAGGGAAGGCCAGACTCACCCATAGTCACCGAGACCATCCTCTCCCTGGCCTTGACTTTGTTCCCAAGAGCCTGGAAAAGTGAACAGTGAAGGCAGAGGACCCATGAGTAGTGGCCGCCGCTGCCGTCCCCCTCTACTGTCTGCCTATCTGCCTGTCACAGGAGCATTCCTGTGCAAGGGGCTCACCACCCAGGAATAGCCCAGCAGCTGGCAGGACATCAGCTGGGGACAGAGCTGCCACCACAGCTAGCGCTCCCGCCTAGGGTGAGGCCCAGAGACAGTAAACGTGCACACATCCCATCCCAGCCACCCCAAAAAGTTTGCAGAACACAAAATAGGCACAGCCCGTCTAAGACTTACACCATAAATATCCACTCACTCACTCACTCATTCATTCATTCATTCATTCATTCATTCATTCAGACACTACTTCCTGAGAATCCACTATGCGTGAGGAATCAGGGAGCCTGAGAATGAATACATGGACCTAGCATGTGATTGGGCGTAGGGCAGGGCAGACAGAGGGTAAACATGCAAAGCAATTCACAGATCTCCTCCCTCCAGTCTGTTTCCTTTCACCTAGACCAGTCCCCAACCCCTCCTTCTCCCTCATCCAGGCTCCCAACCCAGAGTGCAAAAGCCCCTGGATTGAAGCACCATTCCAATTCCTGCCCCACCTCTCAACGCCAGCCCCCTTTGTGTGTGTCATTTTGAAACAGTGTCTCACTGTGCAGTGCAGGCTGGCCTTGAGCTCACAATGATCCTCCTGCCTCAGTCTCTGGAGTTCTAGGATTACAGGCATGTGCCACCACGCCTGACCCTTTCTGATGGTAAAACCAAGTGCACAGTGTCGGCAAGTAACAGCACCAAGTGGACCGGGGTGCCCCCATCTCTGGATCAGGATGATACAAACATCACTCACCTTGGCAGCCTGCTGTGAGGGCCAGGTGAGTGCCACGGGCAAAGGCACCTGAGACAGTATGTGGTTCGACTAAGGAGAGCAGAGAGCAGCCCCTAATTGCCTGGCCCAACACTCCCTCTCCACCAGGTTCTCTATCTGCCTCCCCATGCTGCTTTGTTCTGTTTTGTGAGATGCCCATGTCTTACAGGCTCTACTGGTAGCTATGTTGCTGAGGCTGGCCTCAAACTCCTGGGCACAATGCTCCTGCTTCAGTCTCCCCAGTAGGGGGACTCCAAGCACACCCAGCCCACCTCCCAGTTTTGACTCAGGATCCCTGGGATGCCCATGTCTTACTGTTCTTCAGGCAAGCCCTCTTTCCCTCTGCTCATCTGTCACCTGCTTTGGGATGCTTTCTCGAAGTCCCACTCTGAGCCTCTCTCCGATCCTAGGTAGTGTATAGACCTTGTCTGGCTTCTCTTGAATTCCTGCACGATATGCACCACCACACGCATCGCTCCCCTTCCTCACACTCTCGTGGCCACCCTCCCTTCTGGACGGATTGGCTGGACAAACACAATATGGCAGACATCTCTCAAAGAACAGAGCATGGAGAGGCCTTTACAAGGCAGACAGAACACCTACAGGCCAGGCACTGACTGCGCCAGGCCCACAGCCAAGTGCCATGGTGATGCCTGACAACAGACCCATGAGGGATAACTACTATTAGCCCTATTTTAATCAATAAGAACCTGACCCGGCGAGGCACAGTCATTTTTCAAGTGTCACATCTAGCAACTGACCTTACTAGGATTCAAAAACAAGTTCTCCTTGATCCCGATGCCCATGGAGTTGCTCCTTTTGAGTGTTTACAACATGCCAGGAACTAAATATATGCAAATCTCATTTTCATAGCCAATCTGGGAAAAAATGAGGGAAAAAAAAATTAAGAAACAAATGAGAGTGGCGGGTCCAAGGTCACAAAGCAAGTAACAGCAGGGCTAGGGCTTGGACTCAAGTCAGCTCAACAGCAATGGTTGATGCTGACTTTGGGATTACTATGAACCAGGCACTGTGTATCACTGAAAGGTCTCAGTGCTTACCAGAATCCTTTAGGTGTTGGTATGCTTCCTTCACTACTGCAGAATTCCCCTGCTGTAAATTTCTTCTACTATCTATCTCTCATTTTTGAGACGTTTCCCTATACAGTTCAAACTGGTCGGGGCTGGTGAGATGGTTCAGTGGTCTAAAGCACCTACTTAGAACAAGCTTAGCAAAGCATCAGGGACCGCGGTTCAATCCCCCAGCACCACATGCCAGCCAGCCCGCCCCCTGGTGGGCTGAGCTGGCCACACACACACACACACATAAATAAATAAATAAAAAATTAAAAAACAAACAAACAAACAAACTGGTGGTGATCCTCCTGCCTCAGTCTACCAAGTGTAGAATTACAGGTGTGGTAACCCACACCTCTTCTCTCTACCATCTTAAAAGCCCAACTCCAGAGGTAACTTTCTAAATAGTTGAAATTAATAAAATAGCAATTTTAAAATAGTAGCTACCAGTGACACATATCTGGGATAATATCTGGGATACAAAGTCTGAGCCCAGGCTGAGCAGGTAAGCAACTTAGTGATAATCTGACTCAAAAAAAGGGGTGAGGGCACAGGGTACACGGCACACATCTGTAACCCCAGCACTTGGAAGGCTGAGGCAGGCTGATCACTCCAACTGTGAGGCTTGCCCGGGCTACATTGTGAGTTCAAGGCCCACCCGAAATGCGAGGCCCTGTCTCAAAAAAACAAAAACAATAAAATAGAAGAAAGGCAGTAACTCTATCTCACTTCAGTTACACGTCCCATCATTCTTGCCACTTTCTATAGCAGTCATGTAAAATTCCTCTTTCATATCTTTATGATATATGATTAAAAAAAAATACAGTGAATGCTGGAATGCTGCTGCCAGGTGCCAGCCAGTGGAAAAAACAAACTTATTAAAAACTTTTGTGCTGGGCATGGTGGCACATACCTGTCATCCCAGCACTCGGGAGGCTGAGGCAGGAGGATCACTGTGAATTCAAGGGCAGACCGGGCTGTATCAGGAGCCTCAAAACAAAAACAAAAGCACTCTGATGTGTCTTCGTCCACCTTATTCACTGGATCTGGCACTGTGGGGCTTCTGGCTCTTCCACGAAGTCAAATGACCATGAAAGGGAAACATTTTGAATCAATTCAGGATATGGGAGGGCCACAACAGTACAACTAAAGCTCAGTGCTTACTCTACTGAGCCATCTCCCTGGCTCTCCTTTTTTTTGAGCCAGGCTCTCACTATGAAGCTCGGGATGGCCTCTAACAGCAATCCTCCTGCAGCAGCCTTCAGAGTGCTCAGATTTCAGGTGTGCCATCACAGCTGGCAACTTTTTGTTGTTGTTGTACCAGGAATAGAACCCAGGGCCTCATACATCCCTAAACCCAATTTTAAAATTTTCAACACACACTATACTTTTCCATCTCACCCCATACAGTGTGTTATCCCTTTTCCAATCAGCTTTCATTTACTGGTCACAGTTTCATAGACTCCTGCTTCCACTGTATTTTGCTTAAGTTTTTCCTTCTTCTCAAGGGAAGCAACGTTAATTTTCCACAAAGATATCAATGTGATTCTTCCCATTCGCATGAACTAAGAAAATTACAGCAGTGATTTTCAAAAAAAAGGGTAAAATTATATAAGACTTGGCAAACCAATAAGTGACAGGCCGTCGATTTGCCCACTCGGGTTCTGGTTTTCATATTGTTGTTCCTGAACTTTCTCCCTTCTGTACTTTCTTGGAGTTGAGGGCTACACTAACGACTCTTGGAGTTATTACCATTTTAGTTGGAATCTGTTGAGCTGTTTCTCCGCTACAGGCGCTACATGTACGCTGCATCAGAATCCATTCACCGAACCTATCAGCCCTGTAAAGAGGAAGAAACTGAGATCCAGAGAGGTAAAGGCACAGGCCCACAGCCGCACAGCGCAGCTGGGATTTGAACCCAGAGCCGCTGGCTCCAAGCCTAACCATCTCACTCCCGGCGCAATCATCAGTGCTAACAATGGTTCAAAACTGAGGTGAGGACTAAGCGAAGGCGTTGAGCTAGGGGCCGAGACGGGCACTTCTCATTCAACCCATGAAGCCCATACCCAGTCGAATCCTGACCCCCATTGTACAGAAGAGGAAACTGAGGCTCAGAGAAAGAAATCGCTTGTCTAGACCCCTAGAGCAGAGCTCGGCCTGTAACTCTAGCGCCTCAGACACCACCCATCCCCGCCACATCCGGCCCAGACCCACAACCTCCAGCCCGAGCCTCACCTGGCCCAACGAGCCCGCGCCCATTCACGCCACCCTCCCACCCTCCCGGCGGCGCCAACTGTCAGTCACTCCTCCCTCGACCCCGTCCCCGCCCCGGAAGCCCCGCCTCACCGCCGGAAGCCGGGCGAACTCGCCCGCCGCCGCTCTAGCCCACAAGGCGGCCACCAGCGAGTGTGCGCGATTACTCCGGGTCTCTGCGAGTCGCAGCAAACCCGTTTCCTCCTCCCAGAGGGGACGGGAAGCACGGCCAATGAGAAAAGCGCAGGCTGCCTCCGCCCCCCCCAGCCCCACCCGCTCACAATCTCGCTGGAGTGCGCCTGCGCGCAGGTGGGGCAGGAAGGCGGGGCTTGAGCTTTGGAGGTTCGTGCAGGGGGCCGGTCCCAGAGAGGGAGCTGTGGAACGCAGGTACAGTGTGATGGGGGGCTCCACCCCTCGTCTACACTTCGTGTTTTTACCCTCTTGTCCCAATGAGTCTCCTCTTTTGTCACCCTTGGCCCATTGATGTCACTCATTCCTCCTCTTAAATCATATCCTCTTAACCCGTCAGCACCCCCACTCTGTGGCCAGCACCCTCCTTACGTCGCCATCAGCCGGCCCCTTAAAATCGCTTTGGTTCCCACTAACCCTCACCGCCACCGTATGTGCAGTCTCCCCTCGTTAAGTCCTCACCAACTTATGCATGTTACCCCCCTTCATCTTTGTTGCCATTTCTCCTTTTGAAATCACCACCGCTAAATCGTCCTCGTCCCTCTTCGCACACCTAACGCCTCCTCCCTCTTTAGGTCGCACTCACACTCCCCATTTGTCATTATTGCTCCGTGTGCTCCCTCGCTCCCCTGTCTCCATTGCTCCTCAGACAGTCACCGTCCCTCGGGGTCCCATGCCCACGTTTTCCCTGTGAGGAGCCGAGCAGCCTTCCAGCGGCTTTTCTTACCTCCAGATCTCCATGCCTTCCCGTGTCAGGTTTCCTGTACTCTGCTGAACAGGTACGAGAGCGTATTCCAGGCGGTGCCAGCGTCCGGCGCCACCTCTAAGCCACTAGGTAACCTTGGCCACCTCTAAGCCACTAGGTAACCTAGGTAATTGCCTTCCAAGCCTCCTATCCTAGCCTCCTCATCTGTAAAACATACATGAGAACCCCCACGTCCTGATGAGTGTGAAGATCCTACTAATTTATTGTCACATGCTCAGCTTACCTTGGCATTTGGGGCTAATATTGTTACTAAGCCTGTCGCCCTCACCCTCATCCAATCACCTTCATTGGTCACCTCCTTGCCATGGCTCCAACCTCCGCCTGCACCCTTCAGTCCCCTGGCATCACACTCCATAGTGGGACAACACCCTCTGCCACCGTAGTTACGACACTCCAAGGTGCCAGCACCTCTGCTACTAGTCACACTTTAGTGACCCCTTGGCCACCGTGAAGCTTGCTTTGTAGGCACTCAATCCCTGATTATCTTGGATTGAAACACATACCCTTACTCCCTAAATAAGAGCTAGGCTGAGTGGGAGACAAGAAGAGCTTGGAAGCAGAGATCATATGTAGTTTAGGCTCAGATTTTCCTGGACTTCTAGAGTTAGGGTTATAGAGAGAAAAGCAGGGCCTCTATACTTCAGACCTCAGCAGTCCTAATTCCTGAGGCAGAGAGGTACCTTATTCACCCAGCTTATTTTAGGAAGTGTGGAACAGTGGTTAGCGATGTGTGTCTGGAAACTGGAACAATTCAGTTCCAGTCTTGGTTCTTAGTACTGAAAGAACTGCGTGACCATGTACATATGGATTAACCTCCCTGTGCCTCACTTAGCACATCTGCAGTATGGGAATGAAAACAAGTTATCACTTAGCACATATTTTGTAAACGTATACTAAGGAACCCTATACAATACTAGGCACTGGGGACAAATCAATGAACAAAACAGAAACCCCTGTCCTCCCAGGGTTTACATTCTAGTCAGGGTAAGAGACAGCGAATGAACATTGTGTGTAGGTAAGTAGATGATCTGATGGGTTAGACGGGGAAGCATAATACACAGTCAGGATTGAGGTAGCGGGCATTGAACGCAGCACCTTGCGTGTGCTAGACAGTGTTCTGCCACTGAGCTTCGCTTCTTGCCTATAGTTTTAAGGGGAGGAAAGTTCTGAGATGACAACTGAACAAAGACTTACAGAAGAAGAAAGAATGGCATGGTTGTCTGGGGGAAAGGCATTGTAGGAAGAAACAAACATAGAGGTCCAGGGCTGGCGTATGCTTGGAAAATATATATATATATATATATATATATATATATATATATATATATAGTGTATTTGGTACAGGGTCTCTCTGTGCAGCTCGGACTTGTAGTGAGTCTCTTGTTTTCGGCCTCCCCAGTGCTAGGGAATTACAGGCACTACCATTCTCGCTCTCCCTGGCTAGCTCAGTGCACCCAGGGACAGGGACAGTGCAGTACATGCAAGGGATAGAACCCCAGTCCCTGTGCTTGCCGAAGCAGGTACTTAGTCCACTGAGCTATCACACTGGCCCCTTGCTTTGAATATTAAATGACTAGCAAGGAAGCTAGTGGGAGGGGAAATGGGGTCTCATGAGCTATGGAGAAGAACGGCTTTTCCTCTGCGTGAGGAGGGAACCGCAGATGGATTTGGAGCAGAAGAGATGGGATCCAGTGCAACACGAAGCCATCGTGCCAGGCAGTGGCAGCTCCAAAACTTCCACCCAGGATCGATTGGCAAGTGACAGCCTTGTCGGAATAAGAGGCAGCATCCTCTTCAAGCTGTACTCCTATAGCCTTTACATCTGGACAGTGTTTTCAGTAGCTCCAGCAGATCTGGAGAGCTAGGGTGTTTCTGGGGTTTTTGAGAGACCAAGGCCACTCCTGGGTTAGCTGATTTTGGGGAGCTGTGGAGCTCCAGCTTCTAGACAGGACAGATGGGGGCAAGGAGCTTCTGTTAACCCTGGGACACCCTAACTTCTTATCCTGGCTCACCCTTTGCTGGCTGTGTCCCCTGATACCTCTCTAGGCTTGGAGGCTTTGTTTTGTTTTGGCTTTTTGTGGTACTAGAGCTTGAACAAAGGACTTTGCACGTAATAAGCAAATATTCTAGCACAGAGCTATATCCTTAGCCTACATTAAATTTTGAAACAGTGTCTCTTTAGTTGCCCGGGCTGTCATTGAACTCTCTTCCTCCTGCTTCAGCCTCCCAAATCACGGGATTACAGGCATGTGCTACTGCACCCAGCTGGTGCATTTCCTTATTTGCTCAGGAGTTGGTCCAGTAGTATCCCACCCTGGGATGGACCTGAACTCGGGTTTCTGATTTCCTTCCAAGCAACCCAAGAAGGTGATGTCCTTGAGACCCGACTAGTATCTGAAAAACGAGGATGATAATGCTCCTTGCCCCAGACTCATCCTGCTGTGTTGGAATGAGGACTTCACTCATTTTTCAGTCTTGGTGCCGCTGTCCCCTTCTCCTACTTTATTTTTCCCTGAGACATGTATCGTATATATCTCTTACGTATGTTCCCCCCAGAAGAATGTCATCTTTAGAGAGACTGGGAAGGCCGAAGGCCTGAGAATCAAAGCCAGGGCCTTTGAACTGAACTATGCTTATCCCCAGCTCTTTTTTATTTTTTTTTTATTTTCACACATGGTGTCACTAAATTTCCTAGACTGGGCTGGAATTCACAGTCCTGAGATTACCAGCATTCTGTGCTACAGGCCCAGTTTCTAGACCAGGGCTTATCAGTGAGTGGCCAATAAGTTTAGCTGAATGCGTAGATGAATGAACTGGCCACTAGGGACACAGTGGTGACTGACATGGACCAGCCCTGTCCTCCTGGGGCTCACAGACCAGTGGGAAAGGAAGACTCATCCCCAGGCAGTGACACCCTGGCGAAGTTGGAGCGGAGTTAAGGGAGACACAGGTGGATGGGGTGGGGTGGGGTGGAGGGGTCAGGGATGGGGTGGGGGAGGTATGTGGAACACCAGAGAAGATGCCTAAATAAATGTTGGAGTGCAGGGCTTCCTGGAGGAGGTGACACAGGAGTGAACAGCATAGGAAGGAGAAAAAGACGTGCTGAGCAGGAACAGCTATTAGTGTCTGGCGACAAATATGTGGTTTTTATTCAAGGAACTGAAAACTACTCAATGTGGCCAGAGGTAAAGCAAGAGGGTGAGCCAAGGAGTCTGGTGGAGTCGCTTAAAGCCTTAGGAGCACAGTGAGGAGCTGGGACATCGTTCTCAGGACACTGGGGAGCTACAAGGGGTTTGAGCCAGAGAACGGGTGGCAGTGCTGCAAGTGTTGAGTGAAAGCTGGGAGCTGGGCGAGCTAAGAAAGGCCAGGCAGGAGCTGGGGGAGGGCCAGGTGGGACAGATCTTTGGGAGGCCAGCTGGAGGAGTTGTGGGGTCCAGGACGAGCCTGGAGCTGAAGGAATCAGGGAGGTGGTAGACAAGCAGAGGCTTGAAAGATGGGTGGGACAGCTGTCCCTGAAATGGGGCCATGGAGGAGGAGCTGGCATAGGAGATATGGGATGGATAGTTGGGGACATGGTGAGTGTGAGGGGTCCAAGAACAGCTCAGGTAGTGCCTAGAAAGCTACTGGACCTCTGGAGCTGGGCTTCAGGGTGATGTGAGGTCTGGAGACAGGGCTTTGGGTCCAGAAAGGGAAGCCAAAGCTGTAACGGTTGGCGAGGGGCTGCCCCACAGGCATGGTGGTGTGTGCCCATGAGCCCAGGAACTCTGGAGGCTGGAGCAGGAGGATCACAAATACAAGCCTTGTCAGGGTAACCTAGTAAGACTATCTAGGGCCAGGGAGATAGCTCAGTGTAAGGCAAATACAACAAGGTCCTGAGTTCAATCCCCAGTACTAAAAAAAAAAAAAAGATTATCTAAAAATTTAAAATGGTGGCCAGGCATAGTGCATGCCTGTAATCCCAGCACAAAAGGCCGAGGCAGGAGGATTGCCATGAGTTTGAGGCCAGCCTAGGCTATACAGTGAATTAAAA